CCGTAACCAGCTCGTCGACCTCATCGCCGTCCTCGAGGTCGTCCGGGCTCCGCGCCGGGCAGCGCCAGCGCGCGCGCCTCCACGGGGAAGGCGCCGCGCCGGGGCTCTCAAACTCGCCGTCGTCCTGCGGGGAGTAGGTTAGCACGAGGGTAAAGCGAGGGGAAAGAGGAAGAGCGATCGAGGTGAAAAGCGAAAGCGAAAGACAAAAGAAAGAAGGTTAGGGCAGAGGAAGAAGATGCGGGGGGGGGGGCATCTGGCTGCGAACATTCTCAAGCAGTCCTCCCCGGGCCAGAAATGCACGCACGCAGCGGGAGGTACGCTGTCCCGCCGCATCCTTGCTGTTGTTGCCCACCAAGACGCACACAGTCTCCGTCGAGGGCCGCGCGCCGACGACGAGCCATCGCCGCCCGCGAGCCGCCACGGACCGGTTGGGGGCATCCTCCCCTGCATCGACCAGGTCGCACCTGCCCCACGACGCCGCCATCTCGAGAAGTTGGCAGCTGGTCCCGAATCGAATCGGGAGGACAGCGGCGCCTGCCCCCGCTTCGCGCGCGCACGGGGACGACACGGCGGTGCCGATGACGGGTCGGCGCATCGGTAGTGTCCCCGGGATACACCGCCGCTGCAAGCGCGCGGATCAGACGGGGGACAAAAGACGATGGCCCGCCGTCGAAAGGCGCGCGACGCCACGCCTCCGTCGCAGCACCGATGCGGACTCGCATCCTCCGTTCTCCCCACCTCCTGCTCGTGCACTCGACGACCGGAAAGCAGCGACGCCACGCTCTGCGGACCTCGTCCCGCGCACACGCCTCCGTGCCCAACCCCAATGCGCACACAACCCCCGAGCAGCGCGCCACCGAGTCGACGCGTCCCCACTGCCAGGTCGCGCTCCTCCCCCAGACGACGCGCGCGCACCACGTCCCCGGTGCCCGCGCAGGCCGTGTGCCCAACGTACGTCGTACCGCACGCCCGTCCACAAGAGCCTCCCACCCGCAGAGGACGAGGCACGGACGGGCTCCCCACGTCCACGGCCCAGGTGCCCGCCTAGCCCGTAACGAGCCGACGCCGACGCCCCTCGCGTACACGAAGACGCTGCTGCGCACGCACAAGCACACGGCGAGCCGCTGCCTGCGTCCACATCACGCGCCCTGCATCCACGGCATCTCCTCCAGGTTCCGCGCGCAACAGCGCCCCCTGCACGCTGCTCCCCTGCTCTGGACACCGCGCCGCGCACACGCATCGGGCGCCGTAGCCCCCGCGGCGCACGCCCCGTACCCCTCTCTCCCAGTCTCCAGAGAAAGAAAAAAACCACGACCCGCAGAAAAAAACGGAAAACGGAAGGAAACGACACACCTCCCCCTCGACCTCCACCTCCTCTTCCAGGTCCGCAAACGTGCACAGCTGCGAACGAGACCCGTCAGTTATCGTGTCAAGGGATGGAGAGGGAAGAGGAGGGGAGCGGATAGGCCCGGCGCGCAGTCCACTACGCCCACGGACCCCCGCCGTCGTACGACTCCTCTGAAACGCCATCTCGTGCGCCCCAGCCCCGCCAATGCCATGCACGCCGCCGCACACTGACGCAAAGCAGAAAGTCCGCCAGCATCCTGGCTGCGCGTCCGCGCTGCACAACGCGACACCATCTACACCGCCGAGACCGTACCGACGCCGACGCCGACGCTCCCCACGTACACGAAGAGGATGCTGCTCACACACACGGCGGGTGATGCCTGCGTCGCCTCCAGCGTCCACATCATGCGCGGGCGCCGGCCCTCCATCCAACGGCAGCGTCTCCTCCAGGTTCTGCGCGCAATAGGGTCCCCTGACGCTACGCCCCCTGCTCTGGAGTCTGGACACCGCGCCTGCAAACACATCCCAGGCTGTCCTCGACCCGCGACACACGCCCCCCACCTCCCGGCCCCGTACCCCTCTCTCCCAGTCCAGAGAAAGAAAAAATCCACGACCCGAAGAAGAAAAACGGAAGACGGAAGGAAACGACACACCTCCTCCCCCTCGACCTCCACGTCCTCTAGGTCTGCGAACGTGCGCAGCTGCGAACGAGACCCGTCAGTTCTCGTGTCAAGGGATGAAGAGGAGGGGAGAGGGGAGAGAGGATAGGCCCACGGACCCCCGCCGTCGCACCATTGCGTGCGCCCCAGCCCCGCCCGCTGACGCAAAGCAGAAAGTCCGCACGCTGACGCCGACGCAGAGCAGAAAGTCCGCCAGCATCGCTGCACGACGCGACACCGCCTACACCAGCAAAGCACGCCGCGTCATCCGCCGCCGACACCCCGACGAGCTGCTGCGTCTTCGCCACACTCGCCGCAGCCCCCACTCCCCGCGCGCCGTCTGGTTCTCCGCAAGCGTCGCGTCCTACGCGCCACTCCACTCCCGCGCGTAGGGGGCATTAAACGCGCCAAAACGACAACGACGCGGCCTGCACTCGCACATAGATTGCCTCTGCCGTGCACGTCGTCTCCCCTCTCCACAAACGGAAATGAAACTCACCTAGGCTAGACGCAGGATGGTGCGCCTCCAACGGCGGGCAGAGACACTTGTAGTGGAACGCGTGGCTGCAGCCTGAAGGCGCGATGAAGAACGCCTATGCGGATAGAGTGGGAAGAGCCCTGTGAGCGTCAGCGAGCAGTCGCGGTGCGCGCGGAGGGGGCGAGTATAAGATAAGAGGGGAGGAAGAAGAGGGGGGCGGTGGGGGAAAGCAGCGAAAACGAGAAGTCGAGAAGAAGAACGAGTAGAGAAGGAAAGGAGGAAAAAGGAGGACGAATCCGGATGGAGGATGGATCAACGGGGTGTGGTGTGGAGGGGTGGATGGATTTATGCGCGCGCGGAAAAAGGGAGGTGAGAAGGAATGGGGAGGGTATGTAGGTACGTGGGTGTATGCGTGGATGTATGCGTACAGATGGAGGATCGGTTGATGGAGGAGAAGAGGGGAGGAATGAAGAACCGGGGACGGCGTGAAGATACCCAGAATAGAGAATGGGACTGGGTGGAAGATGTAGAGGGGGGACGCGACCCAACGACGAGCGATGGGGGAACTGAATTTATGCGCCGCGAATGGACGGACGGATCGATGGATGTATGCGTGAGGTGCAGATGGAGGAATGCAATGAATACGTGCGATGCAGAAGGAAGACACCGCCGCGAAGAGGAGATGCGAATGGAATGGAAAATGGGGTGCGAAGGCGAGGGTGGATGTCTGCGTGCGCGCCGGACGGTAGGTGCGAATGGAGGGATCGATGAATGAAGGAATGAATGCCTGGGGTGCGCGCTGGTGCGCGGATGGAAAGCAGGAGGGGACGGCGGGACGCCGATCGGCCGACATCGGCAGATCATTGATGTGTTAGGTTCCATGAATGCCAACAAACAACCCTCTACAGCACCCTCGCGCCCGACATCCTGAGCTCCTCACAATCTCACAAGTTCAACCTCCTCGCCTACTCTCTAGAAATATTCAGCCACTACGTAACCTTGAAATCATAGCTCATTTCCGCCTCCATGCCTGCCGATGAATTCATCGATATCCCTATGAGTGATTCTGAACCATCCGAAGAACTGCTCACTGGCAGAGCGCTCTCGAGCAACCCTACGAAGATGTAATCCGCTGCGGCTCCTCTCAGCGGGATGACACCAAAGAGGCCGTGAGACCCTCGTTCAGCATGCACATGCTAAGCTTACTCGGAGTCTGCACCTGGAAACTGAGCTGGCTGGATGTATTCAATCCCAGTCCGTCATCTCCGAGATATGAATCGGTGACTTGCTATCCTGGATAGAGAATCACTGGACCCGGATAGCTCTCCTTTAGCAATTATTCACTCCTGCGCGTGTTCCCCTTCACCTAATCCTAATCCGACCAAAGACATCATTGTCCTATCTGCCTCGGGTGAGTCAAAGCATTTGTTAAATCATTTACCCTGCTCAATCTCTCCTCTCAAGAGGACGACCTCGACCTGAATCTCCTACGGCTGCAGTGTATTGAGTATGAGGCTGAACGCCACAGTTTACAGGAAGAATATGCTAGCCTACAAGATGATTTCGACCGTTTACAAAAGGCGCATCACAAACTTCAGACCAACATCTACCAATACAAGGTTTCTTTCCCATTCTTCCAGGAAACGGGGTGCTGGTGTTGTGCTTACACATGAATTGAAGTGGTGATGAGAGAATTTATGGCTGGAGGGGCACTGACAGAATTTTCTGCTGCCATGGGAGTCGTGTCGGGTGTACTGACCTATGGAGCCATCCCTAAATCAATGTTTACTTCCCGTACACTCGCACCATATTTTCCTGGCCTCTGTACTTGCTTTCGAGGGTGAATGGAGAACTCTGAATGCGTAATGCACTGTAATGTCAACCACAAAATAGAATCATATGCTCGCTATGATCAGACTGGATTCTCTAATGGGGGAGAATAGCAGGTTTATTCTCGAATATTTTTAGAATTATTCATAGCACCCCCCATGCATGAGATGGAATAAGTTTCGCCGCGTATATATCACGAGTAACCCAAAAAGGCAATACACGCACAAGTCCGTCATGCATCGTTCCGAGTCTTCGTAACATCCTCCATGTCCGAGTTCTCTCTGTGGTCTCTCAGCCTGTGCAGAAGCTGTCACAATTCTCCACTCTTTATTCTTAACCCTTGTTGCCTGGGTTTTTGCTCGGATCTCGGCACGTCTCGCAGGTTCTGTGTCCCAAATTCGGACGTCGTCGAACACTGCCATCTCCCAAATAACCCCTCTCAGAAGTAAGAAGAACCAGGGGCCTGTGCTCCACGCCTCACGTCCCGAACTTCGAGCTTCCAAAACCCCGCCTCCCAACCTCATCATCATCATGCATGCCGGCTTGCTTCCCTGCGCCACGGCTTGCTTCCTCAACCTCGAATAAACCTCTCAAGCACAGGGCATATATATATAGCTAATACCGAAGGAGGGGTTGTCGAAAAACATGGATGGTTTACATAAGAAAAAGCATCCGAATAACATTCATGACCTAGCCTTGATTCGAACAAGGAAGGCCTGGTTTATATATGCAGAAAGTCGTACAACATAGAGAACAGACATGTTACCACTATACCACCAGGTCGTTCTTATGTTCTCCCGCAAGTTAAGTAGATGCCAATGGCAGGAGAAGTGAGAGAGCAAAAAGCAATTAGGCGAGATTCAATGGAGCCTTGACTCGAACAAGAACAGCTTGGATCTTCCCTTCCAAGTGAAGCAGGCGTGTTCCCACTACACTACCACGCCGGTCTTATCTCTTGCCCTGGGGAATACATCTGATCGAAAGAGAACGCGGCGTCACAGTCAAAAAGGATATCCCAAATGAATGGCCTGGCCTTGATTCGAACAAGGGAGTCCTCCACAAAGTGCTATTGAACATCGTGAAAACGTAAAGCAGGCGTGTTACCACTACACCACCAGATCATGACTACCCCATCTTTCGGGTGAATATATAGTGGACCTCCATTTATGCATTTCCTTTCTTTGGATTGATAATTGGTCTCCACGGGACAGTTCGATGCAGATACCAGTAGCTGACCTGAGATGCTCGGTATAGGAGTCGAAGGAATTATGGATCACATAAATAACGCAGTTCTCGGCAATCACCGGATCACCGCGGCGTCGCGCTCCTTGCGCTCGCGGCGTGGGCCGCCGGGCGCTGGCAGTCGGCAGCCCGGTCCTTGCATCAGCGACGCGCCGTCCAGCTCTCGCGCACCACAATCTGCCTCCCGACTCCCGAGTTGCCAAACCTCGTTCCCACTGGTAGTAGTAGTATAGTCTGGTACACGCCCAGCCCCTCAAAAACGTCTGCCGCCGAGCGCCGCCGCTCGCTTCGCCTCGTGCGCGCCGAACCACAGTAGAAGTGCTCCTGCGTCCAAAAAAGACTACTGTAAACAACCTTAATATTGCTGCAACGGATCCGGAGGGAAGAGCGAGACTTTCAATTGACATGTGGGTATTTCAACACCTCCCAGCAATGCACTGCGTCATCCAGATGAATCTTTAGCATGGAGGAAGAAAATGACATGAGCTGGTGACTAATCTGCCATTTACGCCATACACGCCAGCTCTTTCAGTCGAGTCCCACCCAGCTCAGCCAGCTGAAAAGCATTTCAGGGGATATGTCGTATCGCCAAGTTATCTAAAATGTCACAATCTGTCCTCCTTCGTCGATCTCATCCATCCCTGTGTGCATCGCCCATGCCAACCTTTCCGAAACACATCGTGTGTGGTTCAGGTTCAAGGCGAACTCCTCGGTCGAGTTACCGGGTTTATAATGAATCCGTCCCAATTTCTAGGATCTCTTCCGTCGCTCAACTGCTTTGCTTACCGAATACACGCGGTGCGTCCCTTCAATTTTCAAGATCGTTCTCCCCTGGCTCTAAGCGCAGTGCGGGTTTACCCGTCGCCGGCCCACTTCTTTCTTGCGGCTACGGTTTTGTCGACAAAAAGATTGTCGGAACGGCTTCACACAGGGCTCGAATTGCGTTCCTCGACGCCGGCCGCTACCAGAGACTTGGCTCTGATTTCTCCCGGCTAGATTATCTTCCCTTCTCACTGTCGTTCCAATTCCAGGATTCACAAGCCCACACATCAAGGACTTCCGGGGCTTCGCCGGGGCTCATGTAATCATGGCTGTGGTAACGATGAGTCCTCTATGGTCAGTCCTTCTGTCTTTACCGTCGTTTGAGTTGCTATTTATGAACCCACAACAAATTTGCATTCTTGCTACAGAGCTTCGTCAATGTTGTCCCGAAACGTTCCTCCATATTCACAAATCATAGCTGAATGCAAATTTCTCCCATCCGTCTTCAACTGGGACGAAGTCCCAGTGCTCCTCGGGCGTTCCATCAGCGTCTTCGAGCCTGATCTGGGGAATGGCCGATATTGGAATAATCCTCAACCTAACGCCGTTGAACACGTACCGTCTCAGACTCGTCATCGAACTTCCACACCAAGTCACGATTGGGAGTTTTCACCTATGCGCGCGAAATGAGTAACCAGATCATTTTAACAGCAGAAAGACGTACAATCCACTTGTTTTCACCGGCAGGCTGTATAGCCCAGTCGGCCGGTGCCGACGGGTTTTTCGACAGCTTGACGGTGTCCTATCCTCCCTCGTCAACTGGACGGCTAGCAGTGGAGCCTATGCGATACCTGATAACGCCACGCCGTAGCATGTGTGCGGAACACACTGAAGATCCGGAACCTATCGACGGACTTGCCCGGCGTGCTCACGACCTTCCACTTCACGAGGACATTGAGTATATGAGTTCCGCGCCTCAGAAATTAAGGGTTACTCACGATCGCCATATCTGGGTGACCTCCGAGGACGCTGATGGCGCCCTCAGGATCAGTCGCGGTCAACTGGCGGTCGCCGTCGTTCAAGACGATCCTGTAATATCCGGGGACCATCTTTGGCGTCGTGTGACTCGCCTACATGTATCGTTACATCTGGACTCGATGAGGCGGTGGGAGATATACTTGCGATTTCATTTACGCAGCCGCCAGGGGTCATCTTCCATTGAGAAGTGGGAGATGCAGTGACGATGGACAAGGCCGAGAGGCCGAGAATCAGCAGGCGCGAGATCATTTTGGCAGGTATCAGAAGGGGCGAGTTCGATTCTTGGGTGGGGGGCGAAAGAGTAGGATGGAGTCCGCAGCTTATGAAGGGACGACTGAGACTCCGTAAGCTTGTGATGGCGGCGGAGAATGAGGTCAGAATACCATCCATCATGTCACTCGTACTCGCTTGCCTGCTGCTTCCGCACCCATCCTCGTTGTGCTGCTGCTCCCGCTGCCTTCTGGTCGCTGCCAGTGTTCATGTATTTATTCCCGAATGCAATTGAAACCAATAGACCTTTGACGCAAGACTCACTGAGGGCGACGGAGCTCCAGCTCTTTGTTGGATTGCAATGTCAACTATGCTTGTTCGCTTTCCCGCTAGAGAAGCCGGCGATACGCAGGCTGCGAAGAAGTACTCGGCTGTGGATCGGATGGTGGCGATTCGATCGAACGCCCTGTGCTGAGCTATGGGGCGGAGATAGATTTCAGTGTGCACTGGCCGTTCATCAAACCGCAGCCCGGCTCCTCAGCTGCTCAAGGATGATGTTCGAAAAAGATTAAGAATCGTAATGTATTCAATTGTGAATCCACCTACGGCGCCTTGGCGTTATCTGGGATGCTGCTGTATGTTTCTGATCACTGGGCTACCAGTGTTGAGTCCCGTGATATACTGTAACTCAGATCTGGTTCTCGCTTCTGATTGGAATTCCCGAGCTAAACTGCCCCTTCTTCGGTTCCCAGTCCGTGCTTAGCATTCGGTTGCCTCTTTCCCCTCTGCACATTTTTGAAATGGCCCCTCTCTGATGTTGATATGAACCTGTACCGTCCGTAGCAGTCCATAGCGTAGATTAATCGACGCACGGACTGCAGGTCATCCTTCCGTGACGCAGCCCCACTTCGAATCCCCGTCTCCTCTCCCCGCGCATCGTCTGGTTCTCCATAAGCCTCGCGTCCCGACTCCCACGCCTTTCTCCGCTCCCACGCGTAGGGAACATAAAACGCCCAAACACGACGCGGCCTGCACTCGCACATGTAGACACATTGCCTCAGACCACGCACGTTGTCCCCCCCCTCCATTCAGAAGGATGTCCACGTCGTCTCCCCCGCTCCAACCTCATTCAAACAAAAATGAAAACAAAACGCACCTAAAGGCAGGATGGTGCGCCTCCAACAGCGGGTGGAGACGCTTGTAGGGGAACACGTGGCTGCAGGGCGCGAGGAAGAGCGCCTGGCGGATACAGACTGGGAAGAGGCCTGTGCGAGCGTCAGCGGGCAGTCGAGGTGCGCGGCAGCGAGCACCCGGAGGGGTGAGTAATAAGTATGATATAAGAGGGGAGGACGAAGATAAGAGGGAGGGTGGGGGAAAGCAGCGAGAACGAGAAATGGAGAAGAAGGAGGAAAAAGGACGATGAATCCGGATGGAGGGTGGATCAACATGGTGGATGGCTATATGCGCGCGCGGAAGAAGGGGGAGGGTATGTGGGTATGTGGGTGTATGCGTCGATGTATAAGTGTAGATGGAGGAGAAGAGAATGGAGATGGGGTGGAAGATGTGGAGGGGGGACGCGACGCGACGACGAGCGATGGGGGAACATGGGATGGGTGGATTTATGCGCCCCCGATGGACGGACGGATCGATGGATGTATATATGCGTGAGGTGCGCATGGAGGAATGCGAATGAATAGGTGCGGTGCCGAAGGAAGACGCCGCGAAGGGGAAATGCGAATGGAATGGAAGATGGGAAATGAAAGACGGGGTACGAAGGCGAGGGTGGATGTATGCGTGCGCGCCGGACGGTAGGTGCGAATGGAAGTGGGTCAAATTGAATGAAGGAATCTGTGGATGTAAGTATGCGCGGATGGAAGATCGCGAACGGCGCGAAGCACGATCGGTAGCTTCGGCACCACATCAAAAACGATGAGCGAGCGATGAGCGCTTTCTCGGGCAACAAAAATTCAGAGGAAACTCAGAGACTCTGATCGTAGTATCTGTATCCTTAGCAGGTGGGACACAATGGAAGAAATTTTTGGTCTCCATCCAAAGGCCGTGCCTCTTGTTCAAGGGATGCCAATGGTAAGAGGAACAAGACGGAGAGAGGAGAGTGCGGAAATAGCCGGGTCGGCGTGATCCGCATCAGCTCCTGTCACTAATTTGATGTCGGCATCGAGCGCATCTTCTCACAAACGTCTACCTTGTTCTCACCACAGTTACTCACATGCATCCAGAGCTCGAGGTTCAAAGTCTGTCTAATCTTCCAGTGTCGTACAGGGTGAGTACTTGAGCTGTCACCGACGCAATTTGGCGCTCTAATCACGAATCTAGGCCATAGCGACATCCGCCGCGAAAGGCTCACTCCAAGATCTTCTGTTGATACACTCAATCGTCGCCCGAGCCACGCCCCCCGCTTCAGAATCTCGCTTCCTTGTCTGTGTTTACTACGCCAATCTCGACCCCGCGGACGTTCCAGCCCTCGTTGATGTCGATATAGCAAGTGGCTCCACCCAGGATTCTTGCCATCGCGCTGCTTTATCGCTGACTGCTCTCGCTCATCTTATTCCCCGGAACATGCCAATCTCTGCGGGTGTGGCACGCATTATCTGGCCCCGTATATGGATCTGGATTCGGTTCCTGGACCAGTACGGAGACGCGATCCCGATCTTGCGTACCTCTGAGCCAGACCTGTATCCTGCATACGCAACCTTGATTCATTTCTTCCGCCGGGATGCGGAAGATCTCATCGAAGGAACTCCCGGGCTTCACACGGTCTTGACCAAATCGTGGAAATCCCTTCTGCACCGCCGTCCCCTTGGCGGGTCACTGGAAGGGCTATATACAATGGTTACCCGAGTCATACTGC